ACTAAATATATCATTTCTTCTTTCTCTATTTAACTTAAATATAGATGTTAACTACCACAGATATTAATCGAATCAATGCTGTAACAACATTTTTCTTAACAATATCTTGTCTTTTTTTGACTAACGAATTTTCAAGTTCAACTTTATAAATATCATTTATTTTTGTTTTGTATAGAATAAACCACGTCATCTATCCATAGTAAAATCAATGTTATTTATTTTATGTATTTTATTAATTCTAATGAATATTCTTATATTTATTCTTACATTTGTTAAACCTAATCGAAAATTTGGTTGTGCAATACTATCAGCATTACTTTATTATTTTACATTAACAGCTTTTATATGGAAATTTTTATTTGCTTTTCAACAAAGTTTATTTCTAACAAATATATTTCAATCACAATGGTCTAATCGAACATTATTTATTATTTATTTAATATTAACTTTTTCAATACCTATTCTTCCATTATTAATTATGTTTATTAAATATGAAAATTTAACATTTATATCATCAACATGTAATTATTGTTGGTTATCACGTGAATTTCTCATATATGGTTTAATTACACCAATATTAATAATTATTTGTTTAAATATAATTTTTTATTTGTATACAATGATTTATTTATGTGGAAGAAATCGTCAACAAATAGGTTTACGTTCAACAAAATCTGAATATTCACGACGTATACAAAATTTTAAAATTGGACTTTTTTTTGCTATTATTATGGGTTTTAGTTGGATATTAGGTTTTCTTGTACTTATACCAAATACATATGTACAATTATTTGGAAATATCTTATTTTGTATTGTTAATGCATTTCAAGGTTTTGCTTTTTCTATAATGGTTTTTTTTATGATTGAACGAAAAGCATTTTTTTATTATTGTTGTTTTTGGAAACATAAAAATCAAATAAAAACAGCAACAAATTCACAATGTATGATACTTCAAGAATCATTACCAACAATAAATGATAATGATAATATTAGAATAAAAAATATATATAATTTATCAATGCATACATCATCAACAACATCTGGTGGTGATACTAATATTCATGATACATTTGACCATTATCGTATTAAAAAATTACATAGAGAAAAAGAAACAAATGAAAATGAACATATTTATAGTTCACCGACACTTTGAAAAAAACAAAAAGATTTTTTTGTTTTGTTATAAAAACTGATATTGAATTATTAAGTTAATAAATTAAAACTGTCACAAGTACAAAAAAAATACAAGACTAATATTGAAAACTATCTTAGATGTATTTAGATTATTGCGTTTTGGTTTCTTTATTAAAAATTTTTATCAATATAGATCTCTTATTTATTAATGTCAGTTCACAAAGAACATGAAGAAGTAGATAAACAGAAACCTTTCATAGAATTTTTCCATACAAAACTGGCTCATTGTACTTGAATGTAAAGAAAGAATTTATATTCTAAGAAACGAAACAAAAGTTCAGCATTAATTCTGTTTTGATGCAGTGTTACTATACAATATTGTGTAGACTTCATAATTTTTTTTTTGCTGAAAAGAGTAGCATATCTGGAATACAAAGACTATAAAAAGCTTTAATGGAAAACGTTTTTTTTTAAAGGTTAGAAAATTCGTAGACCAAAAGGCATCGTGAAATATGTTTTTCTAACCATTATCTGATATCGTGGATTTTTGATAATTTTGTACCCATAAGCAGATATGTATAAACTAGACAATACTCCAGTGGATATGGACACAAGATGGGACTTAACTGAAAAATCGACTTTTTATTGTAGATTTCCTATAGTGCTCCATTTTTTCATTTCAGCACTGTAGAACAAATAGTCTTTCAGATAAGAATTATATGAAAGAAATTTTTCTGCTAACATGCTGGTATTTCGACGATAGTTTGTCTGGAAATTTTGAAATTCTATAGGCAAACTACATAGCCTAATTTAGACTTGTACCCTTATTCTCTTGGGCATTTCTAATTTAGACATTCTGTAATTGTAGATAAAATATAAGATCAAAAGTTTTTGTCATCTAACAAGAGTTCACTATTTAGAAAAAAACGTTTTTTACATCCGAAAATTAAAATTCAATTTTTAATTATACTATCTCATGTTTAGCCTCTAATGAAAATATATTTCGAATAAAACAAAGACAGAAACCGAATTTACGAAAAGTTTTTTCGAAGGTCTTTAATTCTAAAGTTGTCGTAACCTTCAGTAAAGATTGTCAATCAAATTTCTTTTCCATCATCCGTTAAACAATATATTAATATTCAAAGAAAATGAAATCTTATAATAACAAAAATTAAAAATTGAATTATTTTCAAAGAGACAACTCAATCATATGACAAAGGTCTTTATTGGGATATAAAAAAAAAACAAACAAGCCAACAAATAGACAAAGTTTTTCAAGCGAATTTAAGCAGAATATCAAAAAAAAAAAAAAGGAAAAGAATAAATAGTCAATAAAGAAACTATATACCATCAATTGACGAGATTACTTCTTGTAGTATCAAAAGAATATATTATTTCTTCAATTATTTCGTGCCATTACTCGATCTAAATAAAAAAGAAAAAGAAAGATTAAATAGCTATTACAAATAAGTATTATTTATCTATGAAAATAAAAGAAAAACAAATTACTATTTAATTTTGATACTACATCAACCATTGGAGAAGCAAGTGGTAAAACAGGTTTGACAGGTAAACCAATCGGCATAGTTGCTTCATTATTTAATGCATGAGATACAGCTAAAATTTATATATAGAAAGAAATCTAAATTTTGTATTTAAAACATACATTCAGCTAATTCATGATAAGCAAAATGAAGATAAAGTAAAAAGAATATATGAATTGCACCAACAAAAAGTCCAAGAAGTATACGATAACGTGGATTAATTGTTCGTGCCATAATAATAAACATCTATTATATACAAACATAAAGATTCAATTAAATTATTTTCTATATTTTCAAATTTAATGAATATACCATTCTAACTGCAGCCATACCACCAACAATACACCAAAGACCATAAAATAACAAATGATCATGACCTGTATGAATAAATGTAGCAAGAAAGAGAACAAGACAATGGCTGAATAGAGCATAACCCTAAAAAAAATATCAATTAAATTTTTTTTTTAGGATAATTACTAAATTATTCTTTGTTTTTTGTTTTACGAACATTTATATTAAGAATTTGCATTAAACTTAGATGTGTATTACAAATAAATGAAACTGATGAAATTGCAAAACTTGAACCAATCCAATAACCAAAACAAATAAGAAAACTTGTACCAATCAATGTACCATCTTGCTGAAAAACAAAAATAGATCTAAATAAGATGAGCAATAAATTTAGACTTCAGTAATAACTAATAAAACAGTTTTTTGTTATATTGATAATACAAATCAGATGTCTCAATAACTCTCGAACAGACTTTCTTTGGCTTGGTTCAGCCAATTGAGACCTCTCTTAACGATAATAAATAACTTGCACTAATATGGCAAGTCAAAATATCTGTTGAGAAAAGTGATCCGTAGGTATCAAAATTTTTGGATTCGTGACGAATTCGACACACTCTATTCATGGATGAGTGTTTCTAAGAAAAACTATGGCTAGGCTCTCTTCAACACAACATAATCCATTAAGAATTTTGATACAGGTATATGCTTCATTTCGGAAACGAAACTATGCTTTTGAATAAAGACTAAATACCTTTCTGTCTCTCTGTTATTTATTGATACTGCGTATCTATCTCATCTTTAGTAGTTATTAATTATACAGAAGAATCCAAAAAAAATTATTTCCTTAGAAAATATAATTCTTGAGTTTATAATATTCATTTTTCAAATCGATTCCTTGTTCAATAGATCAAGCTATGAAAAAAGTTAATAAATAAAAGTATTCTTCTTTTGCAAAACATTCTATTATTAATTAGAAGAAAAAACAAAATTCAAAGTAATATAAAATCTATTTCGGAACACGATCAATTATGTGCGATAGATAAAACATTTCAATAACTATAATATTATGTATTAAATATTGATAAATTTTGATTGTATAATCCGAAACAAAAGAGCAGAAATAATGTTACGAAAAAGAGGTAAATTACTTACTACAGAATGACTTGCTAATTTCATTTGATAAATTAAAATTGCTGCTAAAGTAAAAACAATCATTGTTGGTCCATATAATTCTGGTTTAATATTCTAAAATATTTATATGTTTAAATAATATTTATAAAAATTAAAAAAAAACAAAAGAACAATTTCTTCATACTTCATCTGGTGACGGCCATCGAGGAATTAAAACATGAAGTAATCTAAATATAATATTGATTATTAAATCAATAAAAATATAAATAAATCTTTTATTACCTATGTAATATTTCTTTTGGTTCAACATCAAAATATGGACGAAGATAATCAATATTAGCATAAAGATTTATTGCTTGTTGAGCACGTGTACGTCCAGCAGACCAAACCTAGAATTTAATTTAATTTACAAAATAATATTAATAAATAAGATAAATACTTACAATTGATCCTACACTTGGTACTCCAGTTTCAACAGATGTTGTCTGTTGATTATTATTATTAAGCATTGATCTTCTTTGAAGATTATCGTGCATTGAAACTGTTTTTATTTTCTAGTTTTTAATCAGACAAGACAAAATAATATAGAAGAAGAAAAATTTTATGACATCAATCAAAGTTTATTCTAAAGTGACATCTATTTTGTATTTATATAAAGTAAAAATTTATTTATTTAATGAAATTTTTTTCTAAAAGAAAACTTATTTTTGATATATTTTTTTATTATTTAATATATTGAATAATAACATATTAATATCTGATTGTAAGAATATTTTCACCAATGAAAAAAATATCTGCCAATCAATGAACTTTTTTTTTTTTTTTTGTTTCTCGTTCTTGAAAAAAAAAAAAAATTCCACTTAATCTAAATAAAGTTATAAAATAATGAATTATTAAACAATGTCCACGACTAGTAAAAAACGACGTTATCAAACAACTAGTTCACCAAATGAATCCGATGATGATACTAATGGTAAAAGATATTTGAATATTTGTTTATTATTTTATTAATTTATTATGGTTTAGAACAATTAACAAGTTCAACAAGTCAATTATCAAATAAACGACGTGGTTCTGTTGCAGCTGATTTTGCATCACATCGTCTCATTGTAAGTGAACGACAACAAATGGCTGTACTTAAACAATTAACAGCTGGTGAAGAATCGAATAGTATGTTTGTTTGTTTGTTTGTTTTTTTAATTCTTGTTGAAGTATTTTTATTATTGTCAATACATCATAAATCTATATATATATATAGCTGGATCACAATCACCTTCATCGTTGACTCCACAACCACGTCCATCAAAAATTAATCGACGTAATGAACATGGAGAAACAATTGTTCATATTACTGCAAGAAAAGGAGATTTAAAACAATTAAGAAAAGTTCTCAAAGCTGGAGCTAATGTTAATGAAGCCGATAATGCTGGTAATATAATTCAATATATAATAGATTTTTCTTTGAATATGAATGTTATCGTTTTCTATTATAGGTTGGACACCATTACATGAAGGTAAGATTCATAGAATTAATCTACTTTAAATCGATAAATTTTATCGCTTCGGAATGTTTTCTGTCAATATCAAGATAGTGATGTGCAGTTTTTGCTATCAAAAAGTAAAATCTTTTATGCTATGTGAGAATATTCAAAGTATGACTATTAATCTAAAAATAATTTCATATTCCTGATAATGCTGTATGACATTCGAAGTCTTTGTTTACTAATATAAAACCTTTAATCTTGTCATAGTCAATGAATATATTAATTCGTTGACTTACTAAGTCTATAAGATCTTAGAATTTAGCTCAGTAATTCAAAAGCTCTTCTTGATATAAAATAAAATTTCTATTAATAATTTTAATAAAAATATGCACTTAGGAAACTACTGAATAATAAATATGTTTTTTCTTTTTTGTTTCGTCTTTAGCTGTGACTAAAAATCAATTTAAGGCAGCACGTCTTCTTTTACAATCAGGTGCTAATTCAAATGCACCTGGGCCTGAAGGTCAAACTCCACTTGTTGATGCTGTACTTAATAATAATACTAAAGTATATGATTATTTTCTTTTGTTTGAAATAATGTTTTTTGTTTTATTAGATGGTTGAATTATTATTAAATTATTCAGCTGATCCATCTGTTGTTGATTTAACACGTTTAAATGAAACAATGTTAAAAGTATTAAAACGTGAAACAACAGTACTTGATTCATCTGATAATGAAAATGATGATGAATCTATAAGTCCATTATCACCATTAACAAGTGATAATGAATGTGAACATGATGATAAACAAAATTTTCATTCAACACTTGTTGAACAATTAGATAAGAATCTCGTACAACGTTCTAAATTTGCAAAAATTCAACGAAAAGTAATTAAAAACAAAACCAATCTGTTTTTATATAAAAAATTTATTTTTTATAGCCTATTCGTCGTTTTCGTGAACGTTCATCACAATCATCAGATTCATCATCATATAGTAAAACTCGTACAACAAGTGGAAATAATGATACATCATTATTACCAACAACAGGAAAAAATCCATATGATTTTGAAAGTGAAGAAGACAATGAAATACGTGAACCAACAAATGAAGTAATTATAAATTTTCTTTTTTTCTTTTAAAGAGAAAATAATTTTTCTTAAGACTCATGATGAAAATAAGAAAAAAACTGTACGTAAACAAGATAATACAAAACAACGTGCTAATAGTGGAGGTTCAATTCAATTAAATGAAAATTCCAATAAAAAAAAACATTCAAATAAAGTTGATTTAGTTAAAGAACAAGAACAACAAAAATTTCGATCAACATCTGATGATGAACAAATACAAATTTATCGTGTACCACCATTGAAAATTGTTTTAGCAAGAGCCATTGTACATAGAACATCTGATATAGAAAGGTAAATATATAATAAGAAATGATAGTCAAACAGAAAAGAAAAGAGGTTGAAAGAACACAAATAAACTATTTTATGCTTCTTATTGACTCATGATAGATTGTTAAGAATAACATCAAAACAAAATACTTCGGAAAACAACTTGGTACACAGATTAAGACAAGAATATATATATACAAAACAGATTGATGTATATAAATGTCTTTTTTTATTATTTGAAGGAATATGTCTATACTGATAAGACTCTAGCGACCGGAAACAATATTGACCGAGATATTTTCAATAAGAAATAGATTTACTATGTTGCTTGCAAGACAACTTAATGGAATTTCAATTGACATAAATCGATTTTCTGACATACAAATGTATCTAAACATAAATCTCTTACAATTCATTGTATTCAGTTTTACAAACTATTGACGGAGGTCCGAGAGAATTAAATCCTAGAATTCTCGATTAGGAAATGGATAGTTCCCACATTGTGTATCTAGATAGATATTTGACTAAAAATGGAAATCAAACTTTTTAAAGATTTATATATAGTCTATCTAATGATATAAATAACAGTGTTATGAACCTCAGAGAAACTGAAAAACTAGTTACCTGATAATTCATATTTAACAAAATTTTAAACAGTCCGACAATAAGGGCATTTTTTGAATCTCCAAGACGAACTATATACAATAGTGAAAATTTTTTTTGTTTTTTCTACTCTATCGTCTGAAAGACTAGTTCGGTAAAATGAGTAATTTGCCTACATCCGAATTTCGCCGAAATGTTTTTTTATCTACCGTCTCTAAATTCCTATTCGTTTCTTCAATGCATAATAGGTTTTCAAAAAGAAATCTAGAATTTTCAATTTTTTCTAGCTTTAGAAAAATAATATATTCTAAATCAATGCATTTAATGACGTTGAATAATAAAAAAAACAAAACAACTTTGAAGAAAAAAAATGAAGGCAATAGTTCCCCTTAGGCATTTTTTTTAAAAAAAAAAAATTTGTTTTAAAAATACTTTTCTGCGTCATATCTAATCATTGTTGAGCAAAAGAAAAATCATTTTCCAAGCAGAAACGTTACATGTCAGCATACCGTACGAAAAATGCACGCTGTACTTTCTCTTCCCCCCCAAAATGTTTGACTTTTTGCCAATTTTCTACAATTTTATCGTAACTTTCGACAGAAGTCGGATTTTAAAGTATTTTTTCTCTTTCTTTGACAGAAAATGAAATCAAAATAAACAGAAAATGGTAAATAGGATTGTAGGACGTCTGTTATGACAAGAATCAACTTACAGTGAGTTTCATTATTTTCTTTGCTCGATTATCTCTTGAAGAATAAAAACACTTACTGTGAGAATTCTGTTTTATCCTTTTCTACCCATAAAATGTTTTTTTTTGCCTTCGTTACTATTGCAAACATCATAAACGAAGATACAACGATATATGCGTGTATTTGAAATAAAATATACATTAATGAAACGGAAACATAATAAAATGATTGTTAATATGGCAATTTAATCTTGAATATGAGTATCTACTCTTACTTAACCCGGAAATTTTATTTCGATCCTTTCATTTCTTCTAATTAAAAGTAATTTAGCATAAATAATCATCGAAACGTATAATTTTGAGAATACGATGATTAATATGAATTTTTACTCTTCAGAAGGACAACAAATTTTGATTCACACTACTTGCGTCATTTTGTTAAAGTAAAAATATTATTCATATGTCGCGATCACAGTGACATAGATGTATTCATCGTTTTTTTTTACATTATACGTATTGAATAAATATTAGAGAAGTCTATATAAAAGATGAATGTAATATTCAAATTACTCGTACAAACATTTTTTTTTTTCGGTTGTTTAGAATTAACATTTTTTCCTCTTTTAATCATAATTGCACAAAACTATTATTAGAATGTTTTTTTCTTTTTTTATTTATAAAATAATTTTTTTTTTAAGAAAAAGTTTCGTTAAATATATTTTGAAATAATTATTCCCATAAGATTCACTTCTTATTTATTTGAAAAAAAAAAAAAAAAAAGAAGAAAAGAATTTTTCTCTAGAGAATAACTTTAAGTATTCATTAATAGATCAACATTTATTCTCACGATTGATGATGTGTAAAATAACTTTTATCAGTTCTTGTCTTGAGAAAATCTTTCTTAATCTCTTATTTGACATCATATTCTTTAAATTTATTATCTGATTATAATAAATTTATATATCAATTTCTATTTTGTTTTTTTGTTTGACTCGAAATCTTCTTACGTCTTAAGTATACGCCTAGTTTCTCTAATATTAATCGAATATACCAACTGAATAAATACTTCTGTTAATAATTAATGAATACGCAGTTTTTATTTCACATGCAATAGATGTAGGTTTTTTTTTTTTGTTCTCCTTTTATTTCGCTATTAGTCTTCAATGTGTACCTAGAGATCGAAACTTAAAATAGTATGTCAAAAATAAACATTGTCGATTTAACAGCAGTAGTATGCATGTATGTAGAAAGGAACACATTAAGAGAGAACGCGAAAGACATTGTGTCAAATAAGAAAAAGAAAGGAAAGAAGAAATAAGGGCAAACAAAATACACAGAGAAAAATGTGTCTGTCTGTGTGTATGTGTGTTCGACATCGGGGCGGTAGTAGCAAATGCCAGTAGAAGATAGATATTATTATAGAAGAAATCACGCACAAGAAAAGACTGTAAGAATCAACGATTAGTTGATATTCTATATCAATAATAATAATACTAACAAATGGTTGAATCTATCTATTTCGATAACAAAACAGATATTTCTTTTTTTTCTTTTTTTTTTTATTGAAATAATATACTAACCTTGATTTAATTTGAGAATTTGATTTAATTAATTGGAATACATTTTTAAAAAAATCAAGTAATAATATATCATCGAAATAAGTATATCGATTTTTTTTTTGTTTAATTATTATGTAATGGTATAAACAATCAAAAAAAAAAATAAAAAAAAAAAATAGGTACAATCGATAAACACTGCAGACATATCCATGAAACGAAAGAATAAAAGTATATATATATATATATATACAGTGCAACATGCAGTGTATGTGTGCATAAGAGCAAGAAAACGACTTTCTTCTTCTCATTCTTCTTGTTCTCTTCTTCCCTATCCTTCATTTGTTCGACGCATACCCATTGCACACATTGCAATAGAAAAATAGTCAGGTAGGGGTAAACTATATAGGTGAGCTGTCTTTTCAAGTGCAAATAAAAAAAAAAAACATGACATGAAAAATCTATCATTTTAAAATTATATATAAATATCAATAAAGAATTTTTGTTATTTGTTTCCTGTATTTCTTTTTCTTCTAGTTTAAATTCTTCTAATATGGACAATAATAATAATAATAATAATAATTTAACAGTCGATACATCATCATTATCAATGCCAATAATAGAACAAAATGAAAAATTATTATCATCAATGTCATCAAGTGTTCCTATTACGTCTTCAGACAGTGATGAAAAAATTGTATTTCATAATGAATATGAACAAGATAATGAAATCGTTAAAATAAATCGAAATAAAAATTCTTCTCATATGTCTAATCTCGATTATGGTAAAATCGATTCATCTCTCTCACAATCTCAATCACCACAAACAGTTATTGGAACAATGCTTGATTCAATTATAACACAAATTGAAACAAATAATGATAATCAATTAAATTCTTTACCGATTATTGAAGATGATCAAATGGAAGTTGATGATGATGATGAGGAGGATGATGAAAATGAAAATGAAAATGAAAATGAAAATGATGATGATGATGATGATGTAGAACAAGGAACTATAGAAAAAAATGAATCAAATAAATCAATAATTAAAGTTGACAAAGAACGATCAACAACAAAAAATTTATCATCCTCATCATCATCATCAACAACAACAACAACAAAACGTGATTTGAAACCTACAACACGAACATTACGATCACATGCACGTGCTAAAATCAATTTATCAACATCAATACAAAGTTCATCGAATGCATATAATAATGTTCGACGTGTATCGAGTCGAAGACGTGCTTTAGAAAAAAAATTATTCTTAAATACGACTGAAAAAGAAAAAAAACGTAAATCAATATCAGAACGTTCAAAAAAAGACAAAGATAATACGACAACAAATGATGATATTCATACATCAAGTTATTCCGATGATCAAACTATTGAAAATACTAATGGTATGAAGATTTTTTTCAAAGAATGCCAAAAGACAAAATACTAAAACGAATATATTTGATTTTTCTCTAGTTGAAAAACTATCTCATACAACAGCAAATCCAAATGATGATGCTAGTTCATGTTCAAGTACAGGTGCTGGCGATGGAAGTAGTACAAGTAGCTCAACAATAAATAACAAACAGTCTAATACAAATGCTGATATTGATTCATTGCCACCTAATAAACGTCGTTTACGTGAAAGAAATACTGGAATAACAAATACATCTATGCCATCATTAACAACAGATGCATCGAATAATTCCAATTCAACTTCAAATATAGATAATTCACCATCAGAATCAATGGCAACACGTGAAATACCAATTAATAGTATTAAGCAATTTCTTGAAATTAGACAACAGGTGAAGAATTTTTCTTTTTTGTATGAGATCTATTCATATAAGGCTCATAAAAGTCATCTAAGCTGCTTTTTGTTTTTCATCGTTCGTCCTTGAAATGAATATTAACCTGCCCACTCCCCCTTCTCCTAAACAAAAAGTGAATTTTCATCAGAACAATCGAGAAATGTTCTGATAGTACGTTCCAGAATTGTTGAAAAAACTTCGTTATAGTAAGTTGCTTAGATTTTTTGTTTCAGAGAGTATGTGAGGCCACAGTGCCAGTTTTTTTAATCAAGTCTTTTTATTAAAGTACTTCGGCAAATAGATGAGTATTTTTTGAGGTATTGAATTTGTCATCCTTCCTCTTCGTACCAAAACAAGAGCTAATACAAAAGTACTCTGTCAAGAACTGCAGTCTGACACGTTCTTTCAAGTAAAAAGAAAATTATCTTTATCAAATGACGGTCGACAGAGATTGTCGGGTTGTCGAATAACCTTTGTTTATTAAATATCTCCCGAAAACATAATGATATATGATTGAAAAGTTCAGCATACTCTCTTCACTAAAATTCTCATGTATCCTAAAAATTTCATGCTTTTTGAATGTACTTGGTCGAAGATCGATCTCCTGATATGGGAAGGAACGGGAGATTTAGTATCTATATCATCAGGTGAAAAACATTTAAATAATTTTATTTTTCTTTTCCCGATCATAAACATGACTATTGAGTAGTGTTTATCGAAGAAACAGCTGTCACTCAATGGTAGACATAGAACACAGAAAAAAAAGGTCATTTGACGATATTTAACATATATGACTTTATAACACATTGACTTAATATCATTCAAATTGTTTATACTTACATTTGTAAATATTGTTATTTCATAGAATAATATGTAGTTTTTTTTTTGTTGTAAATTCAACGATTTATATCCTATGAAATCATTTGAAAAGGTTACAAATATATCCTAAAACATGATCATGACTTTAACTCACAATAAATATTATATCTTTTATTAAAATTTAATATAAAGAAAATACAAGAAAAGAAAATTTATTTTTATATTTATCTAGATTGACAAACGACATGAAACAATGTTAAATGAATTTATTTTACCAAAAGTTCCCAAAGATTTTTCCGATACAACAATGGCAAAAAAAAGTTATCTTATTGCTCCACAATGTAGTTCATATTCTACAACAACACCAGCATCAATTGGTATAAAACGTTTATCACCACCACATGATCTGGATGCACATTTAGCTGATGTATTTACAAAACAAGAAGATGAAAGATATAAAATGAAATTACGACATCAAGTTGAACGAGTAAAATTAAAATAGGAAAAAAAAAACAATTGTGTTCGATTCTTTTTTTTTTCTTTTTGTTTGTCTGTAGGATAAATTAATTCTATCTCATGAACAAGAAGTTTTACGTTTGTGTGGAAATGCAACACGTTCATCACATAATCAAGATACACCATTAAGTTATTGTTCATTACTTAAAGATAATGAAGTTTATAATGATCCATCAATACAATTACCAGAAAAATTTATTAATAATGATTGTACAAATACAGAATTAAATAAACGTGGTAAACATCGTTGGAATGGACGTTCATTTATTAAATGGCTTGAAGATTCAAATCTTAAATATAAACGTCTTAGTGTATGTTATTAAATCAATGAAAAGAAAAAAAAAATATCGTTTAGAAAATTATTATTCATTTATTTGTTTTATTTTAGTGTGAACTTAATGAGCGACAACGTCTAGAAGCAGATACACTTTATTCAATGCAACGTATGGTTTGGTTAAAACATTTACCAAAAGAATCTGCTAGTTTATCGTCATCAGGACGAATGAGTTATCTTTTAACTGAACGATATTTACCTAAAGTTGAAATAAATCCTAATTTTTGGACTACTTGGGAAACAAGTCCATTTTAATGTTTCGTTTTTTTTTTTTTGTTGTTCTTTTCTTCTCATTGATTTTTCTTTCGTTTATTTCGTCTACATGGATGTATGTTCAACTATCTTTGACAAATTTCTGTCTCTCTGTCTCTCTCTTTTTTGTTTTTTTTTTTCGCTTTGTGATATTCGTGTATAATTTGTATGTATATCAGAATTTTTCTTTTTCGATGTTGGTTTTTTTTATAAAAATAAAACAAATATATAATCTTTGTTGTGAGATTAAAAAAATAATAATAATAATGCGAATTATTTGTGTGTGCTTTTTTTTTTTATTAATAGGATATGTTAGAGTTTTTCTCATGGACGAGAAATAGAAGGATGCCGTATCGTTTTAGAAGATTAGTGCCTGAAATGAGAGATGTTGTCAATAACATCGTACATGTGGTTATGATTAGGAAAATGAGAGAATCATGATAAGTACTATCGCCTTTCATCGTCTATTTCATAATTTGAGGATAGATAGACTATATGACTCGGGCGACGTAACTTCATAAGATTTTATGCATTGTGAGTCTATAACAGCAATATCTTATCTAGATTCTCTCTTGGCAAAAAAAGAGGCAGAAGAGGGAACAGAAAATTTGATATCTAGGAAAGCGAGATTGCCTTGTTGTGATTCTCTAAAATATATAAGAATCAATAGTTTTTGAAAAAGAATTTTGGATAGAAAAAAAAAGAAACTTTTGTGATATTTTGACTAAAGAATACGTTCAAGTTTCTTTTTCATTGATAAAGAAAAAACAAAAAATTCTTAAGATCGACACGACTATTTTGAATGGGTATTTTCCATTGAAGTCATTCCATCGTAGGACAATGTTGTCTTTAGAAAAGTTTAGCAAAAGATTTCGAGCTAGAAAAAGATGTTCCACAGATGTGTATATCTAGATATCGGCACAATGATCTTGGTTTCATGATCAGGACCAACCATTTTTCGTTGGGAATGGTACTTTTAAAGGTCATCTAAGTCTTGCGTCACATGTCATTTTGTCAGGACTCACGTGTTCTAGATTGACATGGGTAAGATAGTCTCAGTAACAGCTCATCGGATCCGACTCGACAGGTTCGGTGGCACCATGACCAAAAATGACTGGTCCCATCCATCTCTACATGAAAGATGTTGTTGGTTTCATTTCTCACGCGATATGACCACGCACGGTCGAAGACGTTTACGTGAGGTATCAAGCAAGTCTATGTTTCTTGATCAACAATGTATATAGATTAAATGTTGAAGAAAATATCAACAATAATTAATTCCTAACAACCATGGATATTACATATTGTCATTGATAAGAGAATGTTTAAAGCTACTCGATTGATTCATAAGTATTTATTTTCCATAATCGAATATTTGAAAATAAGTTCTAACTAGATTCACAAAGATCATACTCTATTGTAAATATATATTTGAAAAAAAACAAGAATTTTATATTAATAAAAATCAAATATAATTTTTAAAAAAAAGTTCACATGATTTTACGCAGGAATTACTTTTAATTGTTTCAATCGATCAAAACATTGTATATAACCATCAAAGGTATTAACTTCTATTGTCCAACCAAATTGACGTGCTTTACTTAAATCACCGTGTCTATCATTCGGTGACTTCAGAGAACCATCTATTATATTAAAAAAGTTCATATATCAATAAATAATTAAAAATTATTTTCATACCTGCAAAGGCCCATGTCGCATAATCAAAAGCTTTTTCATCAAGATTTTCTCTTTGAGCAATACGAATCCAAACATCTTTATTTTTTGGCATATATTCTGCTAATTTTATTTGTACTTCATTTTCATTTAATATTTGTTCATGATGAGGAATATTAAAATAACTATGTAAAGAATAAATATAATATTAATTAAAATAATTAATTGATTCTTGTGTTTTTACCTTTCAATTTTTGGCCATAAATCTCGATATCGAACCAAATCACCATTAGCAATATTGAATGTTTCATTACGAATGTTTTTATTTAATACAGTCCATAGTTGAAAACGTGCATTATTCGAAGCTGTTGAATGATCGGATATTCGATTCCATGCTTTTCTATTTCCAGGAAATAATAATGGTTGACCAAGTTCTTTTTGTATTGTTGCATATAATGCAATTGTTACAGCAAAATTCATAAAATTTCCTAATTAATTATAAAAGAACAAGTGTTTTTCTAAATAAATTAAAAAAA